ATTCCATCGCTGGTTCATCTCCTCGAGCTTTCTTTGTAGCAACAGTGCATCATCATGACACTTAAGACTCTTAAGTAAGTGACTACTTCGTTCGTTTAAAGTGACGTGAAGATCTCGCTGGGACTCTATTTCTTGTTGAAGCTCCTAGATATAAAGTGAGAGGTTATTTTGAGAGGTTACCCTTCATATACATTCATATTTGGTGACAAAGTATTTAAGAAACAAACAACTTGATTATTTTTCTTGACACAAACAATTTAAGATTTTCCTCTTTGTTACTAAGTTAGTGAATTTTCACTGTTTAATCTTCTTCGTTTCTTTTATTTCATGTTTGTTCACATGTACATGTATCTAGATTTACAATGCTCTATTGTATACGTTCACTAAGATTAACCTCCTTTATTTCTTTTATTTCATGTTTGTTCACATGTACATGTATCTAGGTTTACAATGCTCTATTGTATACGTTCACTAAGATTAACCTCCTTCTTTCTTTTATTTCATGTTTGTTCACATGTACATGTATCTAGGTTTACAATGCTCTATTGTATACATTCACTAAGATTAACCTCCTTCGTTTCTTTTATTTCATGTTTGTTCACATGTACATGAATCTAGGTTTACAATGCTCTATTGTATACGTTCACTAAGACTGAAACCAACATTTTAATATTTGTGCAAACCTTATGCTAACATGATGCTGTATAAGCTGACAACCTGGTCCAATCACCATTCACTAACTGCCCCATCGTAGCAACAAGAAAATAAGTGACTGACTGATGAGAATTTTAACATGTCTTGCTACAGCTGGAAGGGGTGGTGGTGATTTCTTTAACATAAGAGAAGGAATACAGTACGTTCATGTTTTATCATGTTTATTTTAAGAATTGCTCCATTGAAAGAATATATGTATGAGATTTTCTAGGGTTCAAACACAGGATCCCCATAAAATTACCATGTTCAGATCTCACATGCACTTTAGCTTCCTTTATCTAGCAAGAAAAAACCTGGTATAGTTTGGTCCAGAAGGTTTAAAGGAAATCTGTCATACATATCAATATTCACTTGTAAGAATCCACAGTAAACCAGAATAGACAATCTACTGCCAGAGAACTAAGTGTACGACCAGACATGTTACATGAAAGTGGTGGTAATCACAACATCTACTACTCAGACAAACATAACTAATCAAAGTAAAGTAAGTGAAAAGGCATTGATATGAAGGTCGGGCATGACATGTGATTGCACGTTTTTATTGCCCTCAAGAAAACAGTACAGTTTGATCCTATTATTGATAATACCTGCTTATATACGATCATATTTCACCAATCAATAAAAAAAAAAGTAAAACAAACATTTGCTGGTTTACCAGTTTTCTGAATAATGAGCAGGTTAATTCAACAAAATAATAATGAAATATGGCGTTAAAATGAATAAATAATAGTGTTAAATAATTCTTGTCCTATTTCTGATTTGTCGTAATTCTAAATAAAATTCATGAACAATTAAGCTTAACTAATTTAATCCAGTTCACACAACAACAATTGTTTAATAACTTGCTAATATAAATGGTATATCAACCATTACTCTCCGCTGTATCCCAGCTGACATGAAGAGCACTGGTATTGGGCAAAATGCTCCCACTGCTCAGCATTGGACCTAACAGATATAGTTTGACTGACATAGTATTATACATTCTTATTTACTTTCACTCATACATTTTTTGTAATAATTACACCTTTAATATTAAACTTACTGTTCTGTATGATGAAGCAAAAAACACAAAGCTCCCAGTCAGAGTAATGTCTGAATATAAACCACAGATTCGTCTTTAAGTATACAATTACAGAAACTTCAATGACCATTATTGGCTAATTATTCCACGCTACACTCAGAAAGTCCAAAAAACAAACAAAAATCACAATTATTTGCTTTGAAAGAAAATATTTTATTAACAGAATAGTGAAAAAGCGAATATTTAATCTAACAATTAGCAAGTGAAATTCCTTTCAGTCTACAAATAAACAATATATTTGTATAGCTTCACAACTTAAAAGAACAGGGACGGAAATGTTAGACACATGGCTGTCTCACACACTACACTAGACTTACCCAAAATGATGGCGATCTTTCTCTCACAGTGACCAGAACTTAGTTTTGATCTGAATTTTAGTACAAAAAGTTAGGTACTGCACATAATAAAATATTATGTTATTAAATTAAATATATTTCTGCAATAAATTGTGTATTGACGACAGAAAGGAAACGCATGGGATATATTAGAATGATATTAGAATAACTTAAAAAAATTTATGTGACTACACATACCATGCAACGCAACAGTGGTTGTCTGTTCCGCCCACCGTTTGTAACCCGATCCCAGAAAAACACTAGATAATCAGCCGATGCACGCCAGCCTCGCTGAAAGAGGGACCTGTACCTAACCCTATTCACGTTATGAGTACGCTAGAATTTCTCGTGTATTTCACACACTAGAACGTGGCACTGCCAATCCCCAAATACTACTTAACAAAGCAAATGAAGTGTCTTATAACAAATTTTGGAAATAAGTTTGGTAACACTGATAATGCAGTATAATTTGAATGATATAGGATATGGAATCGTGGTAAGATACTCAACACAATCCTTCAGCAATGTACTAGAATTATTGTTAGTCATGGCCAAAATAGTAAAAAAAAGTATTGCAAGTCATGCTTATATTTCATTCATCCGTGAAGCTATATATATTAACTAATGAAATATGTACACCATAAGAAAGAGTGAATACCCTTGTAGTTTAGTGTGAATATTATTGTAGACTAACTCGATCCAAACCTGTTGGGTATATTTTACTTTTCTTATTTAACACATGTACCTGGGCCAGATATTTTTTTAATTTTCGTCTCTGAAATACTACTACTACTAATAATAATAAACATTTAAACACTTAGGAAAGAGTGACCCGCAAAAACGAGACAAATTAAAATCTACTGTATTCTCAATGAAAACTAAAAACTGACGTGTATACAGAATACCGTATCTACACGATCAAATTCAATCACTCCTCGCTCCATATACACCAGTATTGTGTCGTATCTTCATGATCAAATTAATCACTCCTCGCTACATATACACCAGTATTGTGTCGTACCTTCATGACAAAAGTTAATCACTCCTCGCTCCATATACACCAGTATTGTGTCGTATCTTCATGACAAAAGTTAATCACTCCTCGCTCCATATACACCAGTATTGTGTCGTATCTTCATGATCAAATTCAATCACTCCTCGCTCCATATACACCAGTATTGTGTCGTATCTTCATGATCAAATTCAATCACTCCTCGCTCCATATACACCAGTATTGTGTCGTATCTTCATGATAAAATTCAATCACTCCTCGCTCCATATACACCAGTATTGTGTCGTATCTTCATGATAAGTTAATCAATCCTCGCTCCATATAAACCAGTATTGTGTCGTATCTTCATGATAAAATTTATTCACTCCTTTCTCCATATACACTAATACTGTGTCGTGTCCACACGAACAAATTAAATCACTCCCTACTCCATATACACAAATATTATATGTGTCCACATAAACAAATTTAATTACGTTCCACTTTGTATATGACCGTTACTGTGTCATAAATATAAGCTCATGTTCAAACACGCATTGTTCCATACATCATAGCCACACGATCCGCTCCGTATACATTGGTATTATAACCAGACGACCAATTTTAGTTGTTCCGTACATACCAATATTATTTTATAAGCACAAGATCAAATGTTATTATTTCTTGTTCCGTATATGCCAGTATTGTTTTATAAGCGCAAGATCAAGTTTCATCATTCTTTGTTCCTTACATGCCAGTGTTGTTTTATAAGCACAAGATCAAGTTTCATCATTCTTTGTTCCGTACATGCCAGTGTTGTTTTATAAGCACAAGATCAAGTTTCATCATTCTTTGTTCCGTACATGCCAGCGTTGTTTTATAAGCACAAGATCAAGTTTCATCATTCTTTGTTCCGTACATGCCAGTATTGTTTTATAAGCACAAGATCAAGTTTCATCATTCTTTGTTCCTTACATGCCAGTGTTGTTTTATAAGCACAAGATCAAGTTTCATCATTCTTTGACTGCATGGAGGTGTAATCCTATAGAGTGCGACAACTTACTAAACTATTATTAATAATAGTATCTTCACTGCATGGAGTTGTAATCCTATAGAGTGCGACAACTTACTAAACTATTATTAACGATAGTATCTCCACTGCATGGAGTTGTAATCGTATAGAGTGCGACAACTTACTAAACTATTATTAACGATAGTATCTTCACTGCATGGAGTTGTAATCCTATAGAGTGCGACAACTTAGTAAACTATCATTAACGATAGTATATTTATTCCTAGCTAGTGAACAACACACACATAAGGAAAACTCTACAAAAGGTACTTACTATTATCATTGTAACTGCAACAAATTTTCCCATACTATCAATTTTTGAAACATATTCAAGGTCTGAGCTAAAGACAAAATAAAGCCTTGAGCTTGCACAGTTACCTTACTTTTTTCCATCTTTAAAATTTCCTCCCCCCTATCAACACGAGACATGCTTTCCTCTTCTTTAATTATTTAAAACATATTTTTTTTTTCACATACAAATATACAATTGATCGCTTCGCGAACCTGCAAAGAAAGCCGTCCAGTGTTTTCTACAGGAATTGAAATTAGAGAGGATGTTCGAACTTTCTGGAGGATGAGACTTTAAGGGCGAAGGTGGACTATAGTAAACACGAAAAAGTTTCACGGCAATTTTATCAGCTCAATAACTTCCGTATCTAGCTATCAATATTATCTCTATAACAGCAAGTTGTTAAATTCCAACATACAACTAAATTTCCGATCAACAACTAAATGGAATTTTTAGAACAACTATAAAAACCTGGAAAACAAGAGTGATCAGAGAGATTCCGTAACCTCGCCCCGCCGTTCATTTTCGAGATTACATGCGTTTATATTGGATTACGTCAAATTTCGCCTTCGAAAATTGAGAAAAAATCCTTCTCGGATTCAGAATTATCAATCAACACGCGCGCGATTGCAATACCATTGCTCCCTTCGAGGGAGGGGGCG